TCTGCCAGTGATGCTGGCAGCTGAGCCACAGGCAACATGACCACCCTACTGTAGAAACCTTTTAGGGTCAAGCTGGGGCAGAGGAGGGAGATCGGCAGCTCTAACGTGAAGTTGTATTTTACGTTTTATTGTATTCTCATTCTGTAATGGTTCGTTCCCATGTTCGTTCCCTGAGTTTTCCCGCCTGCCCTCACGTGTTTATCAACCCCAAAACTGCTTAGTCATTCCCCTGTCCCCTCCCAGGTGTCTTGTCTGTCACTTGGTGTCCCTTCCCATCTATCTGGAAGCTTCCACAAAGCGCGTTGGGTGATTGGACGAGGGCCTGGGTGTCGTGGTTTGACACGGAAAAAGAATTTTTCCAGAAGGAAGAGGTCAATTTGGACATTGACCAATTGAAGGTAGACACGCCTCTGAGAACACAGAGGGGTTAAAAGCAGAATTCCCAGGAGAACTCGCTCTCTTGGGTTCCGGTCAGCGGTCAGTGCAGGACTCTCCCCTGCCCGGCCACGAGCTGGGTGGGGGAGGGGAGAAGCAATGTGGCCTTCGGAGGTAGGCCCAAGGGTGGAGGGGCTGGAACCGGGTTGGCCCCCTGCAGATGGAAGGGTGGAGAAATCTGGGATGTCTCCATTTCCCCCCAGAGTCTCTCTCTCCCAAGAGAGAAAAGAGGCGGCAGTGGTTTTATCAGCAGTTCACCGCGGGGAAGGAGAAGAGCGGGGGGGCCGCAAGGTGCCCAGCCGGGCTGTGGGAGCTGGAGCCTGGGCAGCGAGCCATCTCTAGGAGTCGGGACTTTTAACCCTTCCTGAGAAATGAAAGCTTTGTGAAATTTTTCTCCTCCTTGGTTTGAAAGAGAGGCAGAAAGACAGCCTGGGACCTGGGATGTTGGAAGGAGAAATTCTAGGTGGGAGGAGATGATGGAGTGGCTTTTTGGCTGGACTTTTTCTTGGTAGCCACAGATTGAACTGATCTTCTCCTCCAAGAGAGACTGTATTTTAGGAGGATGCTGGTGAGCCAAAGAGACCATGCTTCAGCTGGGAAAAGACAGGAGTGGAGCGAACAGAGAAAAGTTAAGGAGGTTTGTGGTGGTGCCCCCTGTCTTCACAGAGGAAGAAGAGAAGATCTCTGTTCTTGGATCCGCAGCCCCAGGGGAAAATGGGGGGGACTGTTGGTCCCAAAAATGAAAAAACTGAACTGTTGTTTTTTCCCCTCTTGGCAGGGCATCCTTGAAAGGAAAAATCCTAAAAGCAGTCTGTCCATCCATGCATTTGTGGTGAGAGCACTGTGCATGGAAAGGAGAGGGTCACCACTGGCAAACTTTTTTCTCCAGGCGGTGCCATGTGGTGACATGGAAGCACAGGATGTGGCAGCTGTGTTTCTTGGGGGGTCTGTGGCACAAGAGAGACTCCTCTCTCCCTGCAGATGGACTGGGTGTTGATTATCTGGAGGGTGGAAACCTGATTGGGGTCCAGATTGTGTCTCACTGTGGTTTGTTGGAGTTGGGTGGTGGGAGGAGGAATGCTTTGGAAGGTTTTCATTTTGAATTGTGTGTGTTTTCTTTCTTCTTTTTTTTTTTTTTCCTTCTTTTATAGTAGCATAGTGGTAGTAGTTTAATAAAGTTTTTTTTTCTTATTATTAGGCTTGGGCCTGCTTTGCTCTGTTCTTGATCGCATTTCACAGCATTCAGTTGAGAGCTTGCATTTTCAAGGGGGGGCACTGACATCGTGCCAGTGTCAAACCATGACACTGGGATCCCTCCCCTGTTTATCTCTAAATGGTTGCCCAGGGTGTCTATCCCCGAGAGAGGCATACCCTTGCCTTCCCTTATTGGCTGGTTGGGTTTCCCCCTCCCTCCCTATAAAGGTTACTGTTTCACTGCACCCCTTTGCTCTCTCTTGCTGGAGCTGCTTCAGTTTTGTTGGACTCTGGGGGTCTCCCTCAGAGCCTCAATAAACTTGGATTTATCACCAAGAGAGAGTCGCCTCCTCCTTGCCACTGGGATCAGCAGACTTTGAACCCAGAAAGGCACTCCCTAAAGCCTGAAGGGTCCAGCGGGGAGTGCCTCTTGCTGTCCATCCACCACTGGTGGAGCTAGCCAGGGCTGGTCAGTGGTAATCTGCAGGCGAGTGGGGATGGAGTGCGTCAACGTTACCCTCCAGTAGAAAACTTTTAGGGTCAAGCTGGGGCAGGGGAAGGGGATCGGCAGCTCATCCACTTCCTGAGAACAAGATGAGAAGAGAGAAATGGTGTTACCCATCAAACCCTTGAAATGACATTTCATAACAGAGGAAAGAGAGGGGCAAAGGAACAATTTTGAGTTGGATCTAGGCAGCGCTGAGACCATTCAAATACAAGTGTGCAACATGCAAAATGCCACAGGTTGTCCTGTGGGGGGAAAAAGCTCCAAACAAAACACAACACAAACCCCAAACCATAATTTTAGTGTTCAAATTTTCTGTGATTTACAACTGAGAGAAGCTGCTGTGGAGTGGTGATGGCCTCTTCTCTGCACACCCCTCGTCTTTGCTCGTCTCAGGGGTCTATGAAGACAGACGAGGGCTTCTTTCAGCTCTTGCCTGAGCGAAGACCAAACAGCTATGGCAAACCTGGGGTCATTAGCAAGAGAGCTAGGGAATTCAGACTTTGTCCAAACTGGGGGCTTGATGAAGGCAGAGGTTGAGGAAGGGCACTCACTTGTGCTGCCAGTACCACGGGACACCCAGAAAAGGAGAGCATTTCCTGGCTTCCAGAATTCCTTGTTGCAAGCCTGCTGCCAAGGGCAGGGAAATCATCCACCAGGCCATATTGCTCCAAGCCCCATGCAACTTGACCTGGAACACTGCCAGGGACTGGGCAGCCACAGCTTCCATGGGCAGCGTGGCCCAGGGTGTCACCAGCCTCAGAGGCACAATTTCTTCCACCTCTCCAGCCTAACCCTGCCCTCTGTCAGTGGGAAGCCGCTGCCCCTGGTGCTGTCCCTCCAGGCTCTTGTAAGCAGCCCCTCCGCAGGCCTCTGCTGGGTCTTGTGCAGGCTCTGAAAGGCTGCAGGAAGGTGCCCCAGGAGAAGCACTTGGACAGCGCTGGGGGCCGGGAGTGCCACCATCAGGGCAGCAAGCAGGGCCTGGCATGGCCGTCGGGGCGGGAGGGCACAGGGTGGGCGCTGAGGCCCTGCCAGCTGGAGCTGGGAGCTCAGGTGTGCGGCCCATCAGAGAGCCACGGGCTCTCGCAGCTCTGCATCCCTCACGGCTGAGGCAGCGGCCCAGGCGCAGCTGGCCGGACACAGGCAGCCAGCCCCGTGCCACCCTGAGGGGCAATCTGCTCTGGGCCAGAGTCATTTGTGGCTCTGAGATGCGTGGCCAGCATGACTTGGGCCCCTAGGGTGGCGACAAGTTTGCAGCGGAAAGTGCCAGCCCAGGAAGAAGCAACAACAAATAGCCCCCAGCATGGCCATAGTAATAATGGTGTCTTACACTGGCTGTCTCTCCTTCCATGCGGAAATAGCAGAGGGGGGTCTCTATGAATAATAAGTACCTTTCAGTACCGATAAAGCTACACCAGTACTGGATGGGTGTTGCATAGCTTTCATCCTTGAAAAATTACCAGGAAAAAGGGACAGCAGGGGTAGGTAGGCCAACACAGGCACAGCTGAGGACAGGTTTCTGGCCCAAAATCTTTCTTCAGGTCTGAAACGTATGAAATCAATTTTTGCAGAGAGTAATTATATATGTAGGAATCAAACTACCCTGAAAGTAAAGGCAGCAACTGATTTCCACAAAGAAGGGCCAGTAGGGAAAGGTAGGATGAGAGAAAGAATTAAAAAACACTGTAGCTTTGCATACAAAACGCTCTCTTAACAGGGCTTCTTAGGAGTGTAAGAGGCTGGGCCGTTCACTCCTTTTTTTGTTCTCTCTATCTCATTGTCTCTTTTTTGGTCATATCTGCACGTCCTTTTGCTCTGCTGATTGTCTTTCCATACTGTTTCTGCCTACTCTCACCTTCCGCAATTCCAGCAGTGTCACAAGTGTTACAAGTCCTAGCAAGCAGATCCATTAATGAATTATATTCGCCCAGGGAACAAACAATATGACCAGAGGAAATCATCTCAAGCTGTGCCACAGGAGATTTAGATTGGATCTGCAGGAAATATTCCTTCAACAAAACGGGATATCAAGCTTGGGAACAGGCTGCCAAGGGCAAGGGCTGAGTCACCACCTTCAGAAAGCTTTAGAAGTCCTGGGCATGTGGCATTTGAGGACCTGGCTGACTGGTGGAGTAGGCAGTGTTAGGTTTACAGTTGAACTGTACAATCTTCAAGGACTTCTTCAACCTCGGAGATGCAGAGATTTAAGGGCAACGCAACCAGTGTGGAGTCAAGGGTTAGACTCAGTGATCCCAAGGGTGCCTTCCACCATGGATATCTATGAGACTGCCGATGGAGGCAGCTGGTAAGAAAGACCAAAGAAAGACCAAGGGAAGCTCTTTGAAGAAGGTTTACTCAAAAGCAGCCTTAACCAGTACACCAGGGCTACTCTGAGGGGCTGAGCTGGGCTGGGGACAAAGAATCGAGCTGGCTGGGTTGTGATGTGCTGTGGCAGTTGTGACATCATGGGGGACGTGTCACAGTGGGGGCAGGTAGAAAAGGCCCCAGCAGGTTACACTGGCCCTGGATTCCTTGGGCAAGCGGTGAGTGCACACACGTGGCAGGGAGGCCGTGCGGGGGGACAAGGGGCGGGGTTAGAAATGCTGCACCTGTGGCTGGGTTCTCCCTCTGCATGGAGGGACAGCCCCTCATGGCAGAGCCTTGGCCACGGTACAGTGCTGCTACTGCTGCTGCTGCTGCTGTTGCTGCTGCTGGGGCAGTGGGACAGGCCTTCCTGCCCCCAGCTGTCTGGGGCCCTGTTCTTCCTGCCCTCAGATCACTGGCATTCGTGTCCCTGCTGCTCCCACTGGCAGCTGCCTCCCTCCCCACTCTCCACCAAGGCCTTCTTTCCGTCCTCCTGCAGACCATGGATTTCTGCGTATTGTGGTTCCTGCTCTTGCTGCGTGTAGTCCAGTACCCGCAGCCCGTGGGTGATGTTTTGGATGAGGTGACGCATCGGCAAATGGAGCTGCGTGCAAAGTTCCAGGAAGAGGAGAGGATTCGGCTGGAGCGGGAGGTGGAGCAGCTGGCGCTGATGCAGAGTGGCGCATCCTGGAGAGACCTGCTCCGGTCTGCCTTGCAGCCCTGGCAGGTCTGGGCATTTGCTGGGCTCTTGGTTCTTCTCTTGGCAGTATGGTTTATGCGGAGGACAAGAAGTCATGGGGCAGAGATCAGTTGCAAGGAGGAGAAGGAAAAGGAGAAGGAGGTGGAGAACGAGACATGCGTGTATGATGTGAGATGGCTTCTAGAGAAGCCTGTAGAGGACCTGCAGACAAGCTGCAACAGGACAATGGCCCTGATAGACAATTTCACAACTGTCCTCGGGCGTGCCTTGAGTGGGACTTTCTACCCGGTGCTACAACAAGCCATTGGTTTTGGCAGTGCCTTTGAAGGTTGGGCTGCCCGTGAGGAGGAAGTTGTGTACTGGGTGCTCATACCCCTGACTCCTCCCCTAGGCCACATTTTCCACCTGGAGCGTGACACTGACCAGCAGAAGCCTGGCAGGAATTTCTGTGTCTGTGTGGAGCTGGAGTGCAGCTGCCCGAGGGATTACCAGGGTACGAACATGCTGTGCTTCCAACACCACCCTGACGTGATTAGGTGGAGGACTCGTCAGCCCAACCTCCTAGACACGCTGTGCACCGGCTCCTACCTCGACGTGGAGAAAACTGTCCAGTGGTTCTGTGCACTGGTGGAAGCAAACTGGCGGCTTTTGCCCCAGTCACGTAGTTGGCGTTTAGAGCTGCTGCCCTCCAAACGCTCCTGCAACCTCAGCCTGAGCAACAGCCAAGAAAGCTTCCAGGTTAAGGTGCTGTTTGGGGTGCAGCAACATGCCTCAGACATCTTTATCAGCAGCCAGCATCGAGGGGCCCACACCCCAAGCACAACGTGGCCCGAGACCTACAGCGTGGCAGAGACAAAGTTCTTCAGGCACATGGCCAGGCAGGCTCCCCAGGACGACTCACACCTCAAATGCCTGCAGCTCCTTGCCCGTCTTCTTGCGCGCAAGGTCCTTTCCATCCATTCCATCAAGACCAGTGTCACGCGACTGCTGAACACTGTGCCAGCGTTGCAGAGGCACAGGAGACACTTCCTGCTGCAGCTGTCGGATGCTCTGGAGCAGCTGCGCTTACCTCTGGAAGGCAAACCCCTGGAGCATTTTACAGTGGGCAACCAGAGGTTTCTGGAGGAGATCCGGTTCTCCCCAGATGTACAAAGGGCTAGGCCACCCAACCTGTTCCACGGCCTGCCACAGGATCTGGCCGTCCACTCCTAGGCCATGCAAGCCTGCCTTGATCTGCGCTGTCGCTTGGTAAGAGTGCCGGCCTGAGGCCGCTGTTAGCGGGGTGCGTAGAATCACGGCCTTAGAGAATCACAGAATCACTAGGTTGGAAGGGACATTTAAGATCATCGAGTCCAACCCATAGCCTAACACCACCTTAACAATACCATCACACTGCGTGCCATATGCAATCTTTTTTTAAACACATCCAGAGATGGTGACTCTCCCCCAGGCAGACGATTCCAGTACTTAACCACTGTTCCAGTAAAAAATTTTTCCTAACATCCAACCTAAATTTGCCTTGGCACAGCTACGGACTGTGTCCTCTTGTTCTGTCACTTGCTGCCTGGAGAGAGACACCAACCCCGGCCTGACTACAACCACCTTTCCCGTAGTTGGAGGGAGTGACAAGGTTGTCTCTGAGTCTCCATTCCTCCAGGCTAAACAACTCCAGCTCTTTTCCTCACAGGTCTCGTGTTCCCAGCCCTTCACCAGCCTTGCTGCCCTCCTTTGGACGCGTGTGCTCGCGGGGCTTGCAGCAGGTGGCCGAGAACCAGCTTGTAGCTCCATGACAAAGACGGGAATGAAAGGGATACATTGACAGATAGATATATGTGTATATAAGGATAGTGTGTATATATAGCTACAAATATTTTTATTAACACATGTGTGTTAATAGATACATATTATAGCGATAGTTTACAAATTATCATATTATCTTATAAAAAGAAGTAGCAAGTATATGATGTCACTATTATTTCAGAGTCATTTATGGCTGTTGTGACACATATTAATACTCTGTAGTTACTGCATTTATCAGAGGCGAGATTTTGATGATACAGGTGTATTTATAAAATATGTATTATACACACACGTATTTACTACAAAACAGTAATTTAATACAATATATTTACAATTAAATGATTATTAAATATATGAAATATTATATGATATAAAAATAATGATAATGATAGTGGAACAATATAAATTAAGTATTTAATATATCTGTTTGGATGCATAGTAATGCCCCATAGTTAGCGCATGCATGACTAGCAAGCAAGGATCTGCTGTGCTCTTGTTTCAATAAAATGCAGTTTTGCAGAATCTGGAGTATGCAAGACTTTCTTGATCTCAGCCAGACCTATAGTATGGGTAAATGTCACCCGATGGGAATCTGGGCTTGTGAACAGTCTCGGCAAACTCAACCAAATTTACAGTGCTGAATTGGTTCTAATCAGCAATTAAGGCCACATGCCCCCGACCCCCCTCTGATCCCAGAATCACAGAATGGCTCCGCTTGGAAGGTTCCCTAGACATTGTCTGGTTGCCAGCCTGCTGCCAAGGGCAGGGACACCTTCCACTAGGCCCCATGCAACTTGACCTGGAACACTGCCAGGGACTGGGCAGCCACAGCTTCCATGGGCAGCGTGGCCCAGGGTGTCACCAGCCTCAGAGGCACAATTTCTTCCACCTCTCCAGCCTACCCCTGCCCTCTGTCAGTGGGAAGCCGCTGCCCCTGGTGCTGTCCCTCCAGGCCCTTGTAAGTAGCCCCTCCGCAGGCCTCTGCTGGGTCTTGTGCAGGCTCTGAAAGGCTGCAGGAAGGTGCCCCAGGAGAAGCCCTTGGACAGCATTGGGGGCCGGGAGTGCCACCATCAGGGCAGCAAGCAGGGCCTGGCATGGCCGTCGGGGCGGGAGGGCACAGGGTGGGCGCTGAGGCCCTGCCAGCTGGAGCTGGGAGCTCAGGTGTGCGGCCCAGCAGAGAGCCACGGGCTCTCGCAGCTCTGCATCCCTCACGGCTGAGGCAGCGGCCCAGGCGCAGCTGGCCGGGGACAGGCAGCCAACCCCGTGCCACCCTGAGGGGCAATCTGCTCTGGGCCAGAGTAATTTGTGGCTCTGAGATGCGTGGCCAGCATGACTTGGGCCCCTAGGGTGGCGACAAGTTTGCAGCGGAAAGTGCCAGCCCAGGAAGAAGCAACAACAAATATCCCCAGCATGGCCATAGTAATAATGGTGTCTTACACTGGCTGTCTCTCCTTCCATGTGGAAATAGCAGAGGGGGTCTCTATGAATAATAAGTACCTTTCAGTACCGATAAAGCTTCACCAGTATTGGATGGGTGTTGCACAGCTTTCATCCTTGAAAAATTACCAGGAAAAAGGGACAGCAGGGGTAGGTAGGCCAACACAGGCACAGCTGAGGACAGGTTTCTGGCCCAAAATCTTTCTTCAGGTCTGAAACGTATGAAATCAATTTTTGCAGAGAGTAATTATATATGTAGGAATCAAACTACCCTGAAAGTAAAGGCAGCAACTGATTTTCACAAAGAAGGGCCAGTAGGGAAAGGTAGGATGAGAGAAAGAGTTAAAAAACACTGTAGCTTTGCATACAAAACGCTCTCTTAACAGGGCTTCTTAGGAGTGTAAGAGCCTGGGCCGTTCACTCCTTTTTTTGTTCTCTCTATCTCATTGTCTCTTTTTTGGTCATATCTGCACGTCCTTTTGCTCTGCTGATTGTCTTTCCATACTGTTTCTGCCTACTCTCACCTTCCGCAATTCCAGCAGTGTCACAAGTGTTACAAGTCCTAGCAAGCAGATCCATTAATGAATTATATTCGCCCAGAGAACAAACAATATGACCAGAGGAAATGATCTCAAGCTGTGCCACAGGAGATTTAGATTGGATCTGCAGGAAATATTCCTTCAACAAAACGGATATCAAGCTTGGGAACAGGCTGCCAAGGGCAAGGGCTGAGTCACCACCTTCAGAAAGCTTTAGAAGTCCTGGGCATGTGGCATTTGAGGACCTGGCTGACTGGTGGAGTAGGCAGTGTTAGGTTTACAGTTGAACTGTACAATCTTCAAGGACTTCTTCAACGTCAGAGATGTAGAGATTTAAGGGCAACGCAACCAGTGTGGAGTCAAGGGTTAGACTCAATGATCCCAAGGGTGCCTTCCACCATGGATATCTATGAGACTGCCGATGGAGGCAGCTGGTAAGAAAGACCAAAGAAAGACCAAGGGAAGCTCTTTGAAGAAGGTTTACTCAAAAGCAGCCTTAACCAGTACACCAGGGCTACTCTGAGGGGCCGAGCTGGGCTGGGGACAAAGAATCGAGCTGGCTGGGTTGTGATGTGCTGTGGCACTTGTGACATCCTGGGGGACGTGTCACAGTGGGGGCAGGTAGAAAAGGCCCCAGCAGGTTACACTGGCCCTGGATTCCTTGGGCAAGCGGTGAGTGCACACACGTGGCAGGGAGGCCGTGCTGGGGACAAGGGGCGGGGTTAGAAATGCTGCACCTGTGGCTGGGTTCTCCCTCTGCATGGAGGGACAGCCCCTCATGGCAGAGCCTTGGCCACGGTACAGTGCTGCTATTGCTGCTGCTGCTGCTGCTGCTGCTGCTGCTGGGGCAGTGGGGCAGGCCTTCCTGCCCCCAGCTGTCTGGGGCCCAGTTTTTCCTGCCCTCAGATCAGTGGCATTCGTGTCCCTGCTGCTCCCACTGGCAGCTGCCTTCCTCCCCACTCCCCATCAAGGCCTTCTTTCCGTCCTCCTGCAGACCATGGATTTCTGCGTATTGTGGTTCCTGCTCTTGCTGCGTGTAGTCCAGTACCCGCAGCCCGTGGGTGATGTTTTGGATGAGGCGACGCATCGGCAAATGGAGCTGCGTGCAAAGTTCCAGGAAGAGGAGAGGATTCGGCTGGAGCGGGAGGTGGAGCAGCTGGCGCTGATGCAGAGTGGCGCATCCTGGAGAGACCTGCTCCGGTCTGCCTTGCAGCCCTGGCAGGTCTGGGCATTTGCTGGGCTCTTGGTTCTTCTCTTGGCAGTATGGTTTATGCGGAGGACAAGAAGTCGTGGGGCAGAGATCAGTTGCAAGGAGGAGAAGGAAAAGGAGAAGGAGGTAGAGAACGAGACATGCGTGTATGATGTGAGATGGCTTCTAGAGAAGCCTGTAGAGGACCTGCAGACAGGCTGCAACAGGACAATGGCCCTGATAGACAATTTCACAACTGTCCTCGGGCGTGCCTTGAGTGGGACTTTCTACCCGGTGCTACAACAAGCCATTGGTTTTGGCAGTGCCTTTGAAGGTTGGGCTGCCCGTGAGGAGGAAGTTGTGTACTGGGTGCTCGTACCCCTGACTCCTCCCCTAGGCCACATTTTCCACCTGGAGCGTGACACTGACCAGCAGAAGCCTGGCAGGAATTTCCGTGTCTCTGTGGAGCTGGAGTGCAGCTGCCCGAGGGATTACCAGGGTACGAACATGCTGTGCTTCCAGCACCACCCTGACGTGATTAGGTGGAGGACTCGTCAGCCCAACCTCCTAGACACGCTGCGCACCGGCTCCTACCTCGACGTGGAGAAAACTGTCCAGTGGTTCTGTGCACTGGTGGAAGCAAACTGGCGGCTTTTGCCCCAGTCACGTAGTTGGCGTTTAGAGCTGCTGCCCTCCAAACGCTCCTGCAACCTCAGCCTGAGCAACAGCCAAGAAAGCTTCCAGGTTAAGGTGCTGTTTGGGGTGCAGCAACATGCCTCAGACATCTTTATCAGCAGCCAGCATCGAGGGGCCCACACCCCAAGCACAACGTGGCCCGAGACCTACAGCGTGGCAGAGACAAAGTTCTTCAGGCACATGGCCAGGCAGGCTCCCCAGGACGACTCACACCTCAAATGCCTGCAGCTCCTTGCCCGTCTTCTTGCGCGCAAGGTCCTTTCCATCCATTCCATCAAGACCAGTGTCACGCGACTGCTGAACACTGTGCCAGCGTTGCAGAGGCACAGGAGACACTTCCTGCTGCAGCTGTCGGATGCTCTGGAGCAGCTGCGCTTACCTCTGGAAGGCAAACCCCTGGAGCATTTTACAGTGGGCAACCAGAGGTTTCTGGAGGAGATCCGGTTCTCCCCAGATGTACAAAGGGCTAGGCCACCCAACCTGTTCCACGGCCTGCCACAGGATCTGGCCGTCCACTCCTAGGCCATGCAAGCCTGCCTTGATCTGCGCTGTCGCTTGGTAAGAGTGCCGGCCTGAGGCCGCTGTTAGCGGGGCGCGTAGAATCACGGCCTTA